AAAATAATTAAAGTATTTGCACCCTTTAAATCACTATAATTACATCTTTCACGTTGTATAAACATTTCAACATTCAGCTGTAGTAAATAATGTTGACTAAACATTTGGTTCTTTTATCCGTCAACAGCGGGGATTTTTTTAGATAAACTTTTCGTATTTCCGTCACTGCTCAGCACAGCTCAGCACAGCACAGCTCAGCACAGCACAGCACAGCACAGCTCAGCACAGCACAGCTCAGCACAGCACAGCTCAGCACACCACGGCACAGACAAATGACTCGGCGAGTTCTCAACCTCCACCCCTCCCCTCTCCCCCTCAGGATACGCTGGTTCAAGCGGCGACCAACCACAACGACTCATTTGCTAGTTTTAACGATTAGTCGAGTCAAAATCGACGTTTTCTCATAAATTGATATTATTATATATTAGAACTTATTATATATTAGATTCGAACAGAGAACGTCATCAAAATACTGTTTGAGAAATGTTGTAACGTCTGTTGTTAGTCGTTTGTAAAGTGTTTTACGTTCATAAACGTAATTTTTTGACGGCTAAATTAAGGAGTATTTGGCCTCTGTTTATAAGGATTAACTGTGACTTGACCCGCGGAAGTAAAAGGTTTAAGTCTTTTTTTCAAGATTCGAATGAACACATTCCAAAAAAAAGTTGTTGTTTTATGTCAGTTTCGCCTCAAAATATCGGGCAAATGCTTCACTTTTCAACCCGTTCTCTTAAAAATACAGCCCGTCCTCCAAACAAAGATCCAAAAGTGATTCCATGCACCCGCCAAACCCCCTTGTTTATTAATGAAAAGCGGTTTACACACGACTCACAACTGCTGACGATCGAACACTTCCGGAACAAGTGCTTCACTGACGAATTTTGTTCGAACCACAACGCTATAAATGCTTCACCCACGTACTACAAATACAAATAATCGCCAACAGAACCTAAACACCTAACCTAACCTATGCCTATTTATACACAATATGCTAATATATTATAATATTAATTTATACTTGAGAAAATTCCCGTTTTGAATGAACAGCATGTTAAAATTTATGAATGCGTCTGTGGGGTTGACCGCTGGATGTAATGGACTTGAGTCAAGGATGGGTTGTAAAAATAACGTCGTTTATCGCTTGTATGCGCGATACGGCCAAAAATAGACGTAATTTGAAATGAAATCGGCTCACGAAAGTGACGTACTGTCCTGTTTTCTGTTGGGGTTCAAGTCTTATCGCATTTTCCAGGCGCACATTCCTTTAAATATTTCTATCACGTAATTTTAACCCATATAATTCCCTACCACAAGTACGTCCGTAAAACCATCAACAGACTATTCAACCAGGTTTCCACAAACTACAAAACCACATTAGTTAATTTTAATATATATACTACGTATCCAAAAACGGTATTTTCGCGAAAAGAAATGAAGATTTGTGCATGCGAAAATGTTTTGTATAATTGGGCCTATGATAGGCTAGGTTAGGTTAGGTTAGGTTAGGCTAGGTTAGGTTAGGTTAGGTTAGGTTAGGTTAGGTTAGGTGTTTTAGTTATGTAGGTAATTATATGTGTTTGCAGTATATGGAACATTGATTCCAAAGGATACCTGATCAACCAGGCTGTGACTCATACGTCAGGCTGCGAGCAGCCGCGTCTAACAGCCTGGTTGATCAGTCCAGCAGCCAGGAGGCCTGGTCGACGACCGGGCCGCGGGGACACTAAGCCCCGGAAGCACCTCAAGGAAGCACCTCAAGGTTGATTACCACATCGTTATGTAATGCTGTGACGAGCTGTGACAGTTTCCCAAAAACGTACACAGCAAGTGTATCTTAAATCTGTAATTAAAAATCCACAGTTTCTCAAATGAATTTAAACACTAGTCCTGAAAAAAATATAAAGTGATGATGGCATTCAGTTACACACAAAGTTCAAGTGACTGGATATTGCAATATTGAGGAAGTGTTGACATTATTACTGCTTAGTTCATTGACGTGAAATTAATTAATTTTTTTAAGGGATGCGGATATTTCAAATATTTCTCCATTGTTCACTATAAAGTCAGAGAAGTGTATTGTGCACTTCACGTAAGAAATAAGTGATAAACAAGGCAGACATAAGTGCAGATAACGCTGATACTGCTGTACGTGGCGAAGTATTGACTCGAGATTAGTGTTTACAACTGAAGCATCTCTTCATGTTTACAGAAAAAGGTTTCTACCTGTGTCAAAGACAAAACCCGGGCTCAAACGTGTATTTAATTAGTTGTTGACGAATGAAGACTCATTAGTCTTCAATTAAAATATTGATTGATTCGTTGTGAATGTGTTTGTGAGTATTGATGTTGCAATGTGCATTTTCAAGACACATAAGACTCAAAAATAATGTGCTGTGGACTCCCCAGAAGCCTTCAGATGACATCAAAGTAAACATTGACATCTATACATCGCTCAGGTTATATCAGAATTCTCCATACGACGTCAAGGACTTTCTACACGACGTCCAGATTATACCAGGACTTTCCACACATCCAGATTATACCAGGACTTTCCATATGACGTTCAGATTATACCAGGACTGTCCACACATCCAGATTACACCAGGACTTTCCATACGACGTCCAAATTATACCAGGACTTTCCACACAACGACAAAGACACAACCTGTTTACAAACATTACGACAAAGAAATATTAAGATCTCTAAAACATGACCAGCAAACAGCAGGATCAGACAAAATGACCCCTTTCAAACGACCTACATACAACAGGAGCCACGTAATACATCCAGCTATGAACACGACCCCCCACAATACGACCACCAAACAGTAGGACCCAAATAATTGCGATCTACAACCATGAGAAAACCCTCCCACAATACGGGGTCTCCCAAATACGCCTCGGTCCCAAAATCATCCATATTGCGACCAGTTTCCAACAAGACTCCGCCACATCTCAACTATTCTAGGATACGATCTTCCACAATGCAATTAGCTCGTTACAGGGTCCTCCACGATACGACAGATCGTAACAGTTATCCACGATACAACGAGCTCGTAACAGATCTCTCCACGATACAATTAGATCGTAATAGAGCCTTTTTATCAATACGACCTGCATGTAAATGGCCCTTCAGAGAATGAACAACTCGGAAAATAACCTCTTGACAATATAACTTGCTCTTGACAGGGGCCTTGCACCATATAACTAGCTCTTGACAGGGGGCCACCACCATATAACTAGTTCTTGACAGGGGCCCTCCACCATATAACTAGCTCTTGACAGGGGGCCCTCCACCATATAACTAGCTCTTGACAGGGGGCCCGCCACAATATAACAAGCTCTTAACAAGGGGCCCTCCACTATATAACAAGCTTTTGACAGGGGGCCCTCCACAATATAACAAGCTCTTAACAAGGGGCCCTCCACTATATAACAAGCTCTTGACAAGGGGCCCTCCACTATATAACAAGCTCTTGACAGGGGCCCTCCACCATATAACAAGCTCTTAACAAGGGGCCCTACACCATATAACAAGCTCTTAACAGGGGGGCCCTCTACCATATAACAAGCTCTTAACAGGGGGCCCACCACCTTATAACTAGTTTGTGACAGGGGCCCTCCACTATATAACAAGCTCTTGACAGGGGGCCCTCCACCATATAACAAGCTCTTAACAGGGGGCCCACCACCTTATAACTAGTTTGTGACAGGGGCTCTCCACTATATAACAAGCTCTTGACAGGGGGCCCTCTACCATATAACAAGCTCTTAACAAGGGGCCCTACACCATATAACAAGCTCTTAACAAGGGGCCCTACACCATATAACAAGCTCTTGACAGGGGCCCTACACCATATAACAAGCTCTTGACAGGGGGCCCTCTACCATATAACAAGCTCTTAACAAGGGGCCCTACACCATATAACAAGCTCTTGACAGGGGCCCTACACCATATAACAAGCTCTTGACAGGGGGCCCTCTACCATATAACAAGCTCTTAACAAGGGGCCCTACACCATATAACAAGCTCTTGACAAGGGGCCCTACACCATATAACAAGCTCTTGACAGGGGCCCAACACCATATAACAAGCTCTTGACAGGGGGCCCTCTACCATATAACAAGCTCTTAACAAGGGGCCCTACACCATATAACAAGCTCTTGACAAGGGGCCCTCCACAATATAACAAGCTCTTAACAAGGGGCCCTACACCATATAACAAGCTCTTGACAAGGGGGCCCTCTACCATATAACAAGCTCTTGACAGGGGCCCTCTCTTCAAAATGCAATAAACAAGGCCCCTCTATAACACAGGTAACTAGTGTCAGCATCGTGTTCCCCCCCCTATACCAATACTAATAAAGGAGGGGAGAGTGTGCCATACGACTCAAAATTATCCCCCCAGCAATGTGCTCAACATTTCACTTTTGGACGTTTAAATTATACCAAGGGGTTCCACCCTGCTTACAATTTATTTAAAAAAGTAGGGGAGCTGTTTTTTATTTTTTTGGATATCTGTGATTGTTATATTAACTCATCGAAACGGTGCCCAAGAAAGCCAATGTTGACAGGTTGTATTTGTTAATAATTTTGTTTTAATACAGCTATTTAATAAGGTAATTAAGCTGTTTAATTGAAAGGAGAAAACAGTTTACAGGTTAATACAAAGTTAATATCCTCAGCTCTTATGAATGTCGTACATTCTCGTGTCAGTTCATATCAATATAGCCAGATGTGATAGCGAAAATGAAGCTTCCTCATCCTGTTATCGTTCTAGATAACTGTGGAAGCTCTTCCACCACACTGTCGACCAATCTGGCAGCATCGGAGGCGTCTCTATCCACCACATTGTCGACCAACCTAACGGCGTCGGGGGCGTCCCTATCCACCACACTGTCGACCATCCTGGCAGCATCGGAAGCGCCCCCTATCCACCATACTGTCGACCATCCTGGCAGCATCGGAAGCGCCCCTATCCACCACACTGTCGACCAACTTGGCAGCGTCGGAGGCGTCCCTATCCACCACACTGTCGACCATTCTGGCATCATCGGAAGCGAACCCTATCCACCATACTGTCGACCATCCTGGCAGCATCGGAAGCGCCCCCTATCCACCACACTGTCGACCATCCTGGCAGCATCGAAGGCTTCCCTATCCACCACACTGTCGACCAACCTGGCAGCATCGGAAGCGCCCCCTATCCACCACACTGTCGACCAACATGGCAGCGTCCCTATCCACCACACTGTCGACCAACCTGGCAGCGTCGAAAGCGCCCCTATCCACCATACTGTCGACCAACCTGGCAGCATCGGAAGCGCCCCTATCCACCACACTGTCGACCATCATGACAGCATCGGAAGCGCCCCCTTTCCAAGATATTAACCAAACCAAGAATCAATTCACTTTCAGATATAATCAATGGCTCACCAACTCGGGACAGATGAGTGCTTTCAACAACAATAGATGGACCCACTGTGTAATAAACACAATCACTCCATTCGAGATCACAATTACAATCACTGAGAGGAGTGTTGATGAAATCCATGCAGACTTTGTTATGCCAGCTCCTTTGTGAATCCTTTAAGATTATGGCTCTTGCAGGAAAAAAGAGATTCACACTAATCCCTGCGCATCTGCGACGCATAAGAAGCAGAGGGATTAGAGGATTATAGAAGCTAACTTGGTATCTGACAGCTTCACAGACAGATCAGGAGGCCAGCAGACACAAGCATCTAGAGTTGCAGTTAAGACAGGAAATTCTGATAGTTGGAGACTCTCTCTCTCTCTCTCTCTCTCTCTCTCTCTCTCTCTCTCTCTCTCTCTCTCTCTCTCTCTCTCTCTCTCTCTCTCTCTCTCTCTCTCTCCCTCCCCCCCTCTCTCTAAAATTGTTACATTTAATTACTATTTTGCGTTTCAATTTCATCACCCTAAAGCATTTAATTTGAGAAAGAGGCATCAATTTCACCCTTTTAATTCATCCTGAAAGCATTAAATAACGGACATAATTTCAAATAGCCATTTTTTTTTCATATCAGCAGCAAAATGTCACAAAAAGTTCCTCGAAAAGTTAATACCAATTTATCACCACTTTAAATATATATATATATATATATATATATAAATATATATATATATATATATATATATATATATATATATATATATATATATATATATATATATATAAAAGTTGTGTGGGGTAAGGTGAGGGGTCTAAGGGGTACACGGGTAATTAACTCTAAGGTAAGAAATAGGGAAATAATGGGGGAATGGATGCTAATCAAACACTGGATAAGGCGGTGGATGGGAAGAACTGGGGTAGAGGTGTCGTTATCCGGTGCTGTATGGTGAGGTCTGGGTCTAAGCGTAGGCAAGGTGAGATCTGGGTCTAAGCGTAGGCAAGGTGAGATCTGGGTCTAAGCGTAGGCAAGGTGAGGTCTGGGTCTAAGCGTAGGCAAGGTGAGATCTGGGTCTAAGCGTAGGCAAGGTGAGGTCTGGGTCTAAGCGTAGGCAAGGTGAGGTCTGGGTCTAAGTGTAGGCAAGGTGAGGTCTGAGTCTAAGCGTAGGCAAGGTGAGGTCTGGGTCTAAGCGTAGGCAAGGTGAGGTCTGGGTCTAAGCGTAGGCAAGGTGAGATCTGGGTCTAAGCGTAGGTAAGGTGAGATCTGGGTCTAAGCGTAGGCAAGGTGAGGTCTGGGTCTACGCGTAGGAAAGGTGAGGTCTGGGTCTAAGCGTAGGCAAGGTGAGATCTGGGTCTAAGCGTAGGCAAGGTGAGGTCTGGGTCTACGCGTAGGCAAGGTGAGGTCTGGGTCTAAGCGTAGGCAAGGTGAGGTCTGGGTCTAAGCGTAGGCAAGGTGAGGTCTGGGTCTAAGCGTAGGCAAGGTGAGGTCTGGGTCTAAGCGTAGGCAAGGTGAGATCTGGGTCTAAGCGTAGGTAAGATACCAAAGTCGTTATTCTGTGTATTTAGCATGGATGTTTTTTTTCTCTCATGAGTATAGCTGTAGTGATAAACTATAGCTATACTTTATCTTGAAGGTAGATAGTATCTTGGGGCTGCATACTGGGGATTGTCAATAGTTGCCCAATAGTTAGATATAGTCACACACTCAAAATAAAACACATAACGGCTCTACACACACACACACACACAAAGGAGAGACTACGGGAATTAAACCTCACTTCGTTGGAAGACAGAAGAGTTAGGGGGGACATGATCACCACATTCAAGATCCTCAAGGGAATTGACAGGGTTGATAAAGACAGGCTGTTTAACACAAGGGGCACACGCACTAGGGGACACAGGTGGAAACTGAGTGCCCAAATGAGCCACAGAGATATTAGAAAGAACTTTTTTAGTGTCAGAGTGGTTGACAAATGGAATGCATTAGGCAGTGATGTGGTGGAGGCTGACTCCATACACAGTTTCAAGTTTAGATATGATAGAGCCCAATAGGCTCAGGAACCTGTACACCTGTTGATTGACAGTTGAGAGGCGGGACCAAAGAGCCAGAGCTCAACCCCCGCAAGCACAACTAGGTGAGTACAAACACACACACACACACACACACACACACACACACACACACACACACATGTGTGTGTGTGTGTATGCAGCCCCAGCATGGAGTCCATATCTAGTCAAGGATAAGACTAAACTGGAAAAGGTTCAAAGGTTTGCCACCAGACTAGTACCCGAGCTGAGAGGTATGAGCTACGAGGAGAGACTACGGGAATTAAACCTCACTTCGCTGGAAGACAGAAGAGTTAGGGGGGACATGATCACCACATTCAAGATTCTGAAGGGGATTGATAGGGTAGATAAAGACAGTCTATTTAACACAAGGGGAACACGCACAAGGGGACACAGGTGGAAACTGAGTGCCCAAATGAGCCACAGAGATATTAGAAAGAACTTTTTTAGTGTCAGAGTGGTTGACAAATGGAATGCATTAGGCAGTGATGTGGTGGAGGCTGACTCCATACACAGTTTCAAGTGTAGATATGACAGAGCCCGATAGGCTCATGAATCTGTACACCTGTTGATTGACGGTTGAGAGGCGGGACCAAAGAGCCAGAGCTCAACTCCCGCAAGCACAACTAGGTGAGTACAACTAGGTGAGTACAAACACACACACACACACACACACACACACACACACACACACACACACACACACACACACACACACACACACACACACACACACACACACACACACACGCCTTGCAATAAAACCCCGTAGAAGATTGACTGGAAACCAATCCCTAACTGTTCGACACTATTTATCCAGCAGTAATTGAGAACTGGTAGTAAAAGCGATTGGTGGCACGTGTTCCAGAGAAGAACAAGTGTTATATGATATATGTGATATATGGGAAAGTATACCTCTCAACCTGCTACCAGAAGTCACAAGGTCCCTTCTCATATATTTGCCTGTGTTAAGAGGGAGAGAGAGAGAGAGAGAGAGAGAGAGAGAGAGAGAGAGAGAGAGAGAGAGAGAGAGAGAGAGAGAGAGAGAGAGAGAGAGAGAGAGAGAGAGAGAAGAGCATAATAGTTATTCCCCAAAATTATCGTATTTCTGCTATTTTTTTCCTTGTATTTCTATAATTTTCAGGGAAGTAGGGCTGAGGACAACATAATTTCTAAAATTATCATTTAAATGCTCCTCAGCTGTCGCTGGAATTCATTATTTACTGGGGAATTAAAATCCTGACTTTCAAAATCCCCAATAAAAAATAAAAATAAGTGGGGCCTTTCTTACGAGAATTTTACATTTGTTTAAACTAATTCCTCATTACCATACAGTAGGCGAACCGCACTGATTCATAAGGTCGATTTAGATGTTAAACCTGAAGCACAATCTTGAGGTTATCTTGAGATGATTTCGGGGCTTTAGTGTCCCCGCGGCCCGGTCCTCGACCAGGCCTCCACCCCCAGGAAGCAGCCCGTGACAGCTGACTAACACCCAGGTACCTATTTTACTGCTAGGTAACAGGGGCATAGGGTGAAACAAACTCTGCCCATTGTTTCTCGCCGCTGCCTGGGATCGAACCCAGGATCACTAGTCCCGCGTGCTGTCCGCTCGGCCGACCGGCTCCCAACAATAGAGCAGATTGAGGAGCTCTGTGAAACAGAGGTACAGGAGACATTACAATAGAGTTTTGTGAGTGTTTGTAAGCAACTATATGGGGGCCTGACAGCTGAGTGGCCAGCGCTTCGGATTCGTAGTCCTGGGGTTCCGGGTTCGATACCCGGTGGAGGCGGAAACAAATGGGCAAGATTTCACCCTGATGGCCCCCTGTTTCCTAGGAGTAAATAGGTACCTGGAAGTTAGACAGCTAAGGGCTGCTTCCTGGGGATGTGTAACAAAAAGGAGACCTGGTCGAGGACCGGGCCGCGGGGACGCTAAGCCCCGAAATCATCTCAAGATCTCAAGATAAGATTTCAGGCAAGGGAGGGGGGGGGGAGGGGTCTGTCTTCAAGCCCAATGGTTTTCGTAACATACACAACGAATGCTGTTTTGCTTGTGGCTAATTGGTGATTAGCCCTTTTTAAGGTAAAAAAACGTCGCATTGCAACTAGCATTAAATCTAACTTGGGAATTTGGTTTTAATGTCTCTTGAGGTTATCTTAAGGATTCAGGACTACGGAACATTGGGACTACGATTCCCGAGCGCTGTCCGCTCAGCCGTCAGGGCCCCCTCCTGTTCCCCTGTTGTTGGTCGCAACCACAGCATTCCGGACCACACCAACCAACGTCATTTCACCGTTGAGTTATGTGTTATAACTGCAAGTTTTAACACATGTGTTATAACTGCAAGTTTTAACACATGTGTTATAACTGCAAGTTTTATTTCACCTTGCAAACCTCACTTTCCACCATCTTCACTTCACTTTATCTGACCCCTCACGTCACTTCACGTCACCTAACATCACTTCATCTTGCCTCATTTCCCGCCCATTTCATCTCCCGTCATCCCTTCATATCAGCATCTCCTCATCTTTCACCAAACTCATTCTGTCTCATCTCATGTAA